TCTATCTATCTATCTATCTATCTATCTATCCATCTATCTATCTATCCATCTATATATCTATCTATCTACCTACCTATCTATCTATCTATCTATTTTCGCCCATTTACTTATTCTTATATTTGATGAAACTGCATGCTTTTTTTTTTTACTCATACGAAGTAAGCTATCCAAGGGAGCTTATACATCTTATACAACGAACATAGCAATACTGATGAATGCATATTCCCGGTTATTTCCCTTCATTAGTCAGCGCTCGTGTCTTGCAGATGCTGGGAGCATTATCCTGACCTTTCAGCGTGTCTCCATTAGCCCTAATGGACTGCAATAACTGGATAATGTTTACTCCCTCGCTGAGCTATTAACATTTCTCTCAAGATTTATTACATTTGAGACCCAAGATGTTATAAATCATAACCTCGGATGGATCAATTATTCAAGGAATGCTAGAATAATACGACAATTAAACTTTGAAAGTCAAACAAGACTTGAAGAGAAACGGGTTTTTTAATTCATCTCCTTGGGGAGATTTAAAAAATTGAAAGTTCAAACCGAGTGGAAGAAAAAAGTATTTTCGTAAAAAGAACCGTATTTCTTCACACAGGTCTTTTTTCATCTCTAAGGGCGAAACAACACGTTGCTCTCACTTGAAATGGTCGCTTTTAAGCACAAAGGGGCTATCCCGAAAAATGCTGTTTTGAGAAAATCGAAGGTAAAGATTTTGGACCCTTGTTCAGTTTCTTTAAAATACAAGGATAGTTTTCTTTATAATCAAAAATATATAGCACCAATGAAACAAAGCATCTGTCTTAGGTAGGGCAATATCCACTTTTGGTGTAGGTCAAGATTTCTGAAAACCCCCCGAAATCTGGGTTAGCCCGTTTGTCCTTAAAAGCGACCAAATATGGAAGGCAGAAGAGGAGGGGGTCGACCAAGACTTCTTACTTAGAGAAGAGATCTTGAACAGATGGGTCACGGAAGAAAACCAGGCTGGTATAGGTTTTTGTTTGGTGTATCCAAGCAGAGACATGAGTGGGAGTGAACCATGAGCGCAGACATCTGTTTCAAATCTCGGCCATGAAGAAGAACAAGAACAAATGATTTAACCAGGACACCTCACCTCGAGACACAAGCGCTTAAAGAGGGTGGTTGACGGGTGCTCTGGTGTGGATTGCTTCTTCTTTCCTTTCAAACATCTATCGTCATTATCTATGGGAATAAGGGATTTCGGTCAAACATAAATTCCAAACAATGCCATGTAACAATAAGGAAGTGGTAAATGCAGTTTCAATGGGATACTTGAATTGATAAAAAGGTCTTGTGTGCAGCCGGCGCTCACAATGAAAATAGAAGAGCAACAAGGCAAGGGTAGATCGGGGGCAATCTATTTGGAAAACCTTGCTTGTTTCTTTGTAAAGAGAAACACACCGATACATTGATGTAGTGCTGGAAAAAAAGTAAGACAGACAGACTGAAACAACAGAGGGAAAGTAACGAAGTAGGACCTACCAGTGACGCCTTCCACCCACACGTAAGGAAAATCTTGAACAGATGGTTGACTTCGAAACGCCAGCATAACATTGGCTTTTTGGGAGCAACCGAGAGGAGAAATGAATGGGGAAGCATATAATCGCCGATGTCTGTTTCAGATCTTGCATCTGATGATGATGATGATGATGATGATGATGATGATGATGATGATGATGATGATG